TATGTCTTTATGTCATGACAGCAAACCCGTCGGACATCCAGGTGTAACTAAGACTACCAACCTTGTAATTCGTGACTTCTGGTGGCCTTCCCTAAAGAAGGCTATAGAAGGATTATGTGCTTGCTTGTGACAATTGTGCAGCCAACAAGACCATTCACCAGATACTATGTGGATTGCTTCAACCTTTACCCGTACCCACTAAACCCTGGTCCAACTTGTCTATCAACTTTATAGTAGAACTATCCCCTTCCAGTGGACATACTGTCATTCTCATGGTCGTAGGTAGGTTTTTTAAAGATGGCTCATTTCATCCCCCTGAGGAAACTCCCCTCCAAGCAAAATTGGCTAGAATTTTTACCAGGGAGGTATTCCGTCTACACAGCATACCGGAACAAATTGTATCTGACCTTTTGCTTTGAGATGGGTATTAAATTGTCCTTTTCCTTTGCTTACTATCCTCAGACTAGTGGAGCTGCCGAACATGCCAACCAGTCTCTTGAGCAGTATACATGTTGTTTCTTATCCCCAAGATGATTGGGTTGACCTGCTTCCTTGGGCTGAGGTTGCTCGCAATAACGCTGCTCATGAATCCTCTGGGTTCAGCCCTTTTTTACGCAGTCTATGGCTGGCATCCTGTTGTTCTCCCGACTGCATTCTCCTCACAGGAAATGCCAGCTCTGGATGTGCACATGGCTGGTTTACGTAGTATTTGGAAACAGGTTCAATAATTACTGTTTAAGCTGCTCAGAGACATGCAGACAGGCATTGCCATGCAACTCCTTCCTATGTGGTGGGGGATAGGGTTTGGCTTTCTACCCGAAATATCTGTACATGTTTGTCCTCCATGAAGTTCACTCCGCATTTCTTTGTTCCTTTCTGGATCCTGCGCAAAGTGAATCATGTATGGTATGTCCTATAATTACCTTGTTCCATGCATATGCCTAATGTCTTCCATCCCTCCCTGTTGAAACATCTGATCTGTAATCGGTTCAGTGGACCTCGCACTTCTCCACCTTCTATATTGTTAGAGAAGGAGGAGGAGGATGAGTATGAGGTTGCTCCTATTCTTGACTCAGGTTCCTGAGGGGTAGTATTCAGTATCTGGTCAATACTGGAAACTTTGGTCCTGCAAGCCTGGTCCTTCACGCCCGGTGGGTGTATCCTCCCGGGGGGTTCTGCCACAAACTTACCTTTAACCGGCGCCTGCGCTGCTCCTCTCCTTGGGCCACATGGCCTGAATGCTCCACAGGGCCGCGTGACCTGAATAGAATGCTTACCTTTGGTCGTGCAACTGCAGCCCCTAGAAATAAAATAAATTAAGCCATTAGAGGGACCGCGTCATATATGTGACCCAATACTGTTTGAGCTCGCAGAGATGACGTTGACCAGTAGGAACTCTTTCGAGCCTATTTAAGGCATCGTTTAGCCTCCATTCTTTGCCCTATTGTGGTTTCTGTTAGATCCTTGTTTGGTGCTCCTAGAGATTCCCTTGTATTTTCCTGTGTTTGTGTTTTCTAGTATTCTGACCTCGTCTTCGTATTTGACTCATGATTTCTGCTATACTCTTATGTCATGAAGTCTCTTTGGCTACTCTGATACAGTACTTGTACCTAAAGTAGCATTTTGTATGAGAATGGATGGAAGAGGCTAATATAATATACCAATAATTAAATTCACACTCAAAATAGTCACCTATGTGGATCCAATTTCACATATTTAACAACAACCTGGTCATGTGAATCCTACCCAGCAACTTCCCAACATCCAAAGTTGTAGATTTAATTACCTGACACAGCAGTGTTTTCTCAAGGGATATAAGATTAGTGTTCTCTGTGGCAACATACTAAATCAGGGGTAGTCAACCTATTAATACCTAATGCCCACTTTTGTATCTTTGTTGATAGTAAAATTTCCTTACCACCCACCAGTGCTGCAGTAACCATTTTTTTTAGAAAGAAGTGTTTTTGTTTTTATATGTAGGGTGCCGTGTGTGTATGTTTGTGTGTGAAAGGTGTAGTGCGTGTTTGTGTGAGGGATGCTGTATGTGTCTGAAGGGTACTGTGTAGTGTGTGAAGGTACACAGTGTGATGGGTGCAGTGTGCGTGAGGGGTGCTGTGTGTGTGTGTGTGTGTTTGAGGGTTGCTGTGTCTATCTGTGTGTGTGTGTGTGTGTGTGTGTGTGTGCAAAGGGTGTATTGTGTGTGAGGGGGCAGTGTGTGTGTGTGTGTGTGTGGTGTAGTGTGTATGTTTGTGTGTGAAGGGTGCATGCTGTATGTAGGTGAGTGAGATGTGAAAATCTATATTAATGTCTGCCCGTCCCTTCTTCTTACCTTTTACCAAGGAGGGGGGACAATGCTGCAAGCCCTGGTGGTCCAGTGGTTGCATGTTCACTTTAGCCTGTAGCTCCTCCTGCGAGCACAGCAATGCATCAGAGCGTTGCCATGGTATCAGGCCCGGACTGGCCATCGGGCATACCGGGCAAATGCCCGGTGGGCCGCGATGGCCGTGGGGCCGAGGCCGGCAGGGAGATCACAGGATCTCCCAGGCCGGCCCCTGCAGGGCCAGCGCTATCCGAGTGCCGGCCCTGCATAGTGCCTCCATGGGCCGGTGGGGAGATCACAGATCTCCCTCACCGTCCCAGAGGCAGGGAAATGCGGCCGCCGGCTGGGTGAGGGAGGGAGGAGAGAGACCCGGCGGAGCTCTAACAAGCAGCTCCGCCCGGTCCTCTCGCGGGATTCTGAGTGTTGCCGTGGTTACCGTTGCCGCGGCAACGCTCAATCTCGCGAGAGTGAACTCTAACCTGCAGGTTAGAGTTCACTCTCACCACTGGACCACCAGGGAAGGCAGCATGGTCCCCTCAAGGCTCCCCCTCCCAGGCAGAACGGCTCCCTCCCCCTCCCAGGCAGAACGGCTCCCTCCCCTCCCAGGCTAAAGGTAAGAAGGGAGGGGGGGGGGACATAACTTTTTTTTTTTAATTATTAATTATAATAATATTATAATTATTAATAAAATAAAAAATATATATTTCAAATAATTTCCCTAACAGCCCCCCCAGACACACACAGCCCCCCCCAGACACACACAGCACCCCCCAGACACACACTGCACCCCCCAGACACACAC